ACACACACACACACACACACACACACACACACATGCCTGGCGCAAGTTTAAAACCACTGGGTCCAGGACTCGAACCATGGTTGACAACATGGGAGTCCAGCGATTTAGCCATTACACCATCTGCTGATCCCATTGTTTAGGAAATTTTGTCAAACCCAAGGTCATAAAGAATTTCTCCTGGGGGAACCAGCAGTTGGCGTTATGGCTATGTTGCTGGACTCCCACGTGGTCGACCATGGTTCGTGTCCTGGACCCGGTGGCTTAAAACTCACGCCAGGCACGTGTGCGTGCATACCCAAGATCCCGAGAGGAGAATGGAGGAGAAGGGATTGCGGCGTGACCATCCCCCCTGGGGGGTGATTTCTCGCTTTCTGTCTCTGTCTCTCTCTGTCTCTGGCGAGCACATGTACCCTATAGTGAAAATCTCTCTAAAAAAAAAATAATTTCTCCTGGGACTAGCAGATAGCATAATGTTTACGTTGCTGGACTCCCATAAGGCCAGCTGTTTTTCGAGTCCTGGACCTGGAGGCTTGAAACACACTGGTAAGCATGCCCAAGATCCCAAGAGGAGAATGAAGGAGAAGGGATTGTGGTGTGGTCACCCCCCTGGGGGTGTGATTTCTTAATTTCTATCTCTCTGTCTGTCTTTCAGTCTCTGGTAAGCGCACATGCCCTATAGTAAAAATCATCTCTAAAAAGAAAAAAAAATTTCTCCTATGTTTTCTTCTAGTTATTTTATAGTTTTAGTTCTTACATTTAGGCCCATGATTCATTTTGAGTTAGCTTTCATATATGATGTGAGGTAGGGTCTACGTGCAGACTTTTTTATTGTTGTTGTTAAGTTCTCCATGCTCTGGGCAAGTATTCTGCCTTCTCCCTAAACATCTTTATCTTCATTTCTTCATAAAGCCGCCACCTGTGCTAGTCTCTGAAATCTCCTCAGCTCTTTAGCCTCTGACCTCTTGCTGCACACATAAGTACTTGCTGTGGACAGAGACCCCCTCCTCTTTGCCCTGCTCTGGATGCTGGGAGCACCCATCTGTCACTGGTTGCTGAGGCAAAGATCAGACAGCATCTTTTTCAGGACATTCTACTCTTTTTTTTTTTTCTTTTTTTTTTTAGAGGTTTTTGCTATAGGGTGCGTGCGCTCTCCAGACAGACAGAGAGAGACAGAGAGACAGAAAGCAAGAAATCACCCTCCAGCAGGGATGGCCATGCCGCAGTCCCTTCTCCTCCATTCTCCTCTCAGGATCTTGGGCACGCATGCACACGCGCTCGGCATGAGTTTTAAGACACCGGGTCCAGGACACGAATCGTGGTCGACTACATGGGAATCCAGCGACATAGCCATTATGCTAACTGCTGGTCCCCAGGACATTCTACTCTTTATGGCTCTTTGTTTCTGGTAACAATTTTCCTTTCTAGACACTCGTCTGCCGCTGTGATAGCCAAAGGTCTGGAACTTCCACTAGAGAGAAAACCAACCAGATGTCAACTAGCCTGACACGCTTGTTGGCATGTGTGAAAACCCACGTGCACAGAAGGTAGGCAACCTTCTAGAGGGAGGACAGGTGTTGTTATCTTCATTTCAGGAGTGAGGAAACAGAGGTGTCACAAGATTCAGTGACCTGTTTGAGGTCACCCAACTGGCTCATCAAATAGCACCACACTCCAGAAAGTGCTGTAAGCCCTGGACCACACTGCCAGGCCCCCAGCTGTCACTCTCCAAAGAACACATTGGCTCAGACTTCCTACTCCCAGGCCAGCAGCTCCCACCCTATAAATGCTACAAATTATGTGTGGAATTTTCCTGCCACTAATCAAATGCAGCTCCAATTTCTTTTATGGTTTTGAAAAAAATAAAACACACACAACTTCAATGGATAAGGAGTTTCAAAAGGTATATTTAAGGTCTTGGGTGCAAGTCAAAGAACTGGGTTGAGAAGAGTCTGATTTTCTCCTTTTCAAGTGAATCCAAACGTTATTGTTTCTTTCTTTCTTAAGAGTTTTTTTTTTTTTAATTTTTTTTTTTACCTAAAGGCATGTGCACTAGCTGGGGAGAGAGAGAGAGACTGAGACAGTGAGAGGGAAAGTGAGAAATCACCCCTCAGGGGGATGGTCATTCCACAGTCCCTTCTCCATTCTCCTATTGGGATCTTGGGCACATACGCACATGCTCCTGGCTTGAGTTTCAAGCCACTGGGCCCGAAACTCAAACCATGATTGGCCATGTGGGAGTCCAGCTACATAACAGCTACACCATCAGCTGGCCCAGGCTTTATTGCTTCTACTGCCCTTGTTGGGTTCAGAAGTGAATTGTTCCTGTAGAGTTGGGGTGTCAGTTCATCGCCCTGAGGCGATGGAAGTTAGGAGGCAAGGGCTGCTTGATGTACTTCCTTCGATCCTGCATGCGTCATGACCTGCACCATGTCTTGCTATCTCTGTCAAGACTCAAGTTTTCAGCTCTGTCAATATTTCTAACCTTTGCCCAAGCCTTTTAATCAAGCCTCCATCCCCCCAGGTAGGCCAGTCACCTCAGGACCATCCACACCTTTTACCTGAGGCACATCCTTCTTTCTGGCCCTCAGCTCTGCATGCATGAGGGCCTCTCCTCTCAGAGGACTGAGAACCAGCTTGAATCTGTTTATACCAACTGGACAGGCCTGCTTCCTACTCTAGCACCTTCGGCCTGGCCACCCTCACGTGTGCTAAGCCTCCCTCCAAGGCTCAGTCTTGCAGAATCTCTTGCTTGAACTGACAATTAGGCCTCTTCCCACTTTCCTCTAAATAGCTTTGCCCTGTGTCTTTATTTTCAAAGAGAGATTTTTTTGCTATAGGGCATATATACTCACTAGAGAGACAGAGAGACAGAAAGTGAGAAATCACCTCCTGGGGGGTGAGGGGAATGGCCATGCCCAATCCCTTCTCCTCCATTCTCCTCTCAGGATTTTGGGGACGCATGCACGCATGCCCGGCGTGAGTTTCAAGACACCGGGTCCAGGACTCGAACCGTGGTCAACTACATGGAAGTCCAGCCAGGTAACCATTACTCCATCTATTGGTCCCATGCCATGTGTTTTGTCTACCCACCTAGACTGTCAGCTCTTCCTGGCATAGAAAGATCTGACCCTTCCTCGTTCCATCGTGTCTCTTCAGCATCTGGCATCATCTATGATGTCCAGATCTATATGGATTATTTTAACTTGATTTTTGTCTGAGTTTTGGCAGGAAGGTGGGAGGTTTGCACTCTGCAGTTTCTAGTTTTCCTAAGAGTTCCAGAAAGGGAACAAACAATGGTGGCATGGAAATGCACACCCTTGTTTGGGCTAGAGACTTGGGGTTAGTAGATCTTGGAGTTTATCTCTGAAAACGAGAAATAGAGCATCCAGGGAAGAGAGATCCTGAGCTCAGAGCCAGTCCTTACACCACCCAGCAGCACCCTTCCCAGGGAAACACCCCCATTGCTTCCCACACAGGGAGGACACGCAGCTGAGGTAATTACACAGCACACATGCGAATGCCTACGGGCCAGCCTCCAGGAGTGCGTGCCCCATCCTCCAAGCTGTGCTGCTTGGGAAAGGATCTGCTTGTGTGAAGCTTCTACCTGTGGCTTGAACTAGATGCAAAGAATTCAGAAAACATGCATTCCATGCACGGTACAGAGTACTTCTAGGAAGCTGAAAGATGAACCAGGCACTATCCCAGCTCTCAGCAGACTAGCTGCCTACCCGAGGGCACATGACTACACTCAAGCATGATGCAAGTCTCTGGAAAACACTAAAGGAAGGAAATCTTTCCTGAGGAGGAGACACTTAGGATGAGACATGCAGACGGTTGGAACTAGAGGAGGAGGTTTCAGGAGGGATGTTTGTGAGCAAAGTCAGGGAGTTACGATCATGTAGGGTATGCTCCGGAGACAGTGAACAGCCAGTGCTGCCTGAGTATAGATAAATATGGGGAAAATGAGGTCGAGACAGTAGCTTGAGACCATGTCTACACATCCTTTAAAGCCAGCTTACTGCTTTATGAACATGACCTCTGAGGCAGATAGTAGGCCTAGTTTGGCTGCCTTCTAGCTGGGCAACCTTGGGCAAGTTAGTTTGTTCCTCAAAGCCTGGGGTGGTGTTAAAACCAACTCATGGGCTAGCCATGAAGAGTGAATGGTGATATTGCTTGTGATGTGCACACAGCATGTGCCTACGTACAGGGCACTCATCAGATGAGCATTGCTACTATCATCTGTTCAGACTCTGTAGGCTTTCTGAAGTGATAGGTAGGTTCTAAGCTACAGAGCAGCAACGTCTCCGCAGCCTTAAAACATAGATGAAAAGAGTCAGGTGGCAGCAGGAACAACTAGGGAGGCTATTGCAAAGGCCCAGGTGATGGGTCAAAAGTTCTAAGCCTGGGCACTGGGAGACTGGGGTAAAGAGTAAAGGGAATTGGGGACCAGCAGTTGGTGTAATAGCCATGTTGCTGGACTCCCCTGTAGTCGACTGTGGTTCAAGTCCCGGACCTGGTGGCTTAAACTCACACCAGGCGCGTGTGTGTGCATGTCCAAGATCCTGAGAGGAGAATAGAGGAGAAGGGATTGTGGCATGGCCATTTTCCCCACCCTCAGGGGGGTGATTTTTCGCTTTCTGTCTCTCTGTCTCTCTCTGTCTTTCTGGCAAGTGCACACACCCTATAGCAAAAACCTCTTTAAAAAAAAAAAAGAGTAAAGGGAATGTGGGTCAGCAATGCTAGCAGATACCAAACCTCTAGATAGGGTTGGGTAGGGCCCATGTGACTGGCAGAATTAGAGACACCCAGAGAAGGCCACACAGATCTCAACTCATCCCAGATAAGTCCCTGCCAGAAGTTAAGTCTCTGGCCTCAGGAATCTCAGCACTGACGGGGCTCAGAGGAAGAGGTAGACTAGGAAGCTGGTGTTCAGACCAGTGCAGTAGACAAGTAGTGCTGGGGACTGTGTCAGGAAACTCTTGGGATGCTCTAGGGGTGGGAGACAACTTTCCAAAGCCAACCGGGGCAGGGAATAAGACTCAGCTCCATTATACACACATTACATGTGATCCTGAATCCACTACCCTATTTCATGCTTTCTATTTTTCTCATCTTAATCATTTTTCTTTTGCTTTTTATTTTTTAAGGTTATTGCTAGGGTGCGTGTGTGTGTGTGTGTGTGTGTGTGCTCACTGGAGAGGGAAACAAGAGGGAAAGTGAGAAATCATCTCTTGGGGGAATGGCTAATCCCTTTTCCTCCAGTCTCCATGTGGAATTTAGGGCATGCACACTCACACACACACACACACACACACACACACACACGCTCAGTGTGATTTTCAAGCCACTGTGGGTCCAGGGCTTGAACTGTGGTCAGCCATGTGGGAGTCCAGAGCCTTAACCACTATACCACCTGCAGGCACCTATCTTGCATTAGTGTTTGTTAGTGTCTTTTTCTCCTCTACTAATTGGAAGTTATACATAGTATTTGTTTTTCTTTTAGTGATTGCCTTGGAAATTACCAAGTGCATATTTATCAAGGTCTAAAGCTAGTCAGTCACTGTATCTGCCCTTCCACAGTACAAGACCATGAAACATTTTAACCGTTTACCTTCTTTTCCTGACTTTCATATTACTGTTAGGTGGTTTAACTCTATCCTGTTTTGTTGTATCCTCACAAGACCTTGGAATTATTATATTAGATAGCTAATGTTTGTTTAGCTTTATCCACATAGTTACCATTTTCTTGGCTCTTCATTCTTTCTTACAACTTTCTTACATCTCAGATTGCTTTCCTTCTTCCTAGGATAGTTGTTTTTTTTTTTTTCTCCAAGATCGAACACTTTATTTAGATGGTAGTTGTCTTTTTAATATGTGCACACACACACACACACACACACACACACACACTCAGAATGATTTGCCTGGGGGAAAAAAGACTAAATATGCCTAAGGGGAAAATAAAAAATAAAAAATTTCCTGTAGATTTCCATTATTGTAGGCAATTATGTCTACATCACTTACAAGCTATTGCCAAATCTGTTCAAAAAAGAATTTGAAATGGAGGGAAAATCTTCAGAAAAATTTAGCAGTGGCACACCAGAGCTCTTAATTAGGACATTTTGTTTTGTTTTGTTTTAGTTTATTTTATCCATGAGTGAGAGACAGCACCCTCACCAGGAATCTTGATGCTGTGACCAATTCCCAGCTTCAACTTGAGCCAGCCCTGGATCATGGGCACACGCATCCCTGGTATGTTCAGGGAGGTATTCAGATGTGAACCCAGAACCTTCCCACATGACTCAGCCTCATCAAATTTTACACTGTGTTATCATCTGACCCTTAGGATATCATTTAATGAGAGTTCCCTGGTTACACAGTCTCTTAATTTTGGCTTTTCTGAAAATATGTGTTTTTAGTTTTTAATGCATGAAAGATATTTTTGCTGGATGAAGAATTCTAAGTGGTTAGGTCATTCTCTCCTTCCCCTCCTATTGCTGAAGTTGATGAATCAGCAGTTAGTGTAAGGTCTACTGACTTTATTTTTCTGGTCTCTCTCTCTTTTCTTTGTGCATTCTGCAATTTAGTTTATATGTTTAAGGGAGCGTTTCTTTCTTCTTTTAAATCTCACTTAGAATTTCTTGGGATTCTTAACATCTGGAATAGTATCCCTGATCAGTTCTGGGAAATTATCAAGCAATATCTCAAGTATTGCCTCTTTCCATTCTCTCTCCTCTCATTCTAGAACTCCTACTAATCTAGGCTACTCTTT